ACACTATTTCAAAAAGTCTCCAGCACTGCCTATATTTTAAGATTTGCAATTAGGTTTTAACCATACATTTATTTACACACTACCTAACAAGTTAAAAAATAGTATTCTTTATAGCACAATAAAAATAATACTCTTTTAAGCAATGAACAAAAATTTTAGAGTTAAGTTAAATGCAAAGATTTGTGCTTTTTGTTTAAAGTAATAAAAGGGAGTATCTATAATTTGTTATGCAAATAAACTCTATAGAACACGAAAACATTTCGTCCTTGCGCTAAATGTATATACACATAACAGGAAACCAACACTTATTGGAATGCGTCTCTTAACATTAAAGTTTAAGAGTGGAAATTTCTAAGCTTATTATATTTGTTTAATTAAATTCTAAGTGTTTATGATTCATATAGACACGTGCAAAAAATGAATTTGTGTTGACCGTGTCATCCAACAAGAAATTTATGGGAAAAAAAATAATCAATAAAAATAAAATTAAAATAGTATTTTTTTTTTTTAAATATATAAAGCAACTAAATATTGAATCATCCATTCTTAAAATCAACCACCCAAAAAAAATCCATCACTTCATCATTTCTTCCACTTATAACTAACTCTTGAAAAAAATACTTTTATCCTGTTTGGAAGGATATTCTACAATACAAACATGTATGATCCATTACTAGAATATATAATTGTTCATGCAAAGATACATGACATACACCAAGGCCGCAAGCATAAAGGGCATCATCATCAAAGTATTCAAAAGATGTCAAAACCTTATTAGATGTATTATTTTTTTTTCAAAGTAATTTTCAATGAATATAAACATGTCTCTGATGTCAAGTGAACAAAAATGTTTGCATAATTGTTCCTCTTCTTCTCGTTTTAAGATCGTCATTCTGTCATGACAGTTTTTACGTAAAAGTATTGTACACGTTTTTTAAAATTTAATATCAGAAATAAGATTATTAAGAATTTTGAGATCGACAGGAAGGGCGTTCAAAATAAATGGTTACCAAGTATGAAAAAAGTACTAGTTAATTCTTAATAATCTTATTTCAGATATTAAATTTTCAAAGTAATTTTCAATGAATATAAAAATGTCTCTGATGTCAAGTAAACAAAAATGTTTGCATAATTGTTCCTCTTCTTCTCGTTTTAAGATCGCCATTCTGTCATAACAGTTTTTACGTAAAAGTATTTTACACGTTTTTAAAAAATTTAATATCAGAAATAAGATTATTAAGAATTAACTAGTATTTTTTTCATACGTGGTAACCATTTATTTTGAACACCCTTCCTGTCAATCTCAGAATAAACCAGACACTGGGGGGGGGGGGCAAAAAAATCGATTAACTTTCCGGGGGGGGGGGAGGCAAAAA